ACCCAGGTGTAGGACCTTGCACTTCGCTTGGTTAAACTTCATGAGGCTGGCATCAGCCCACCTCACAAGCATGTCCAGGTCCCTCTAGATGGCATCCCTTCCCTCCAATGTATCAACCGAGCCATACAGCTTGGTGTCATCGGCAAACTTGCTGAGGGTGCATCAATCGCACTGTCCATGTCACCGACAAAGATATTGAACAACACAGGTCCCAACACCGATCCCTGAGGGACACCGCTCGTTACTGGTCTCCAAATGGACATTGAGCCATTGACCACTACTCTTTGTGTGTGGCCATCCAGCCAGTTCTTTATCCACTGAGTGGTCCATCCATCAAATTGATGTCTCTCCAATTTAGAGACAAGGATGTTGTGTGGGACAGCGTCGAATGCCTTGCACAAGTCCTGGTAGATGACGTCAACTGCTCCACCGCTGTCCATCAGTCCCGTAGCCCCATCATAGAAGGCCACCAAATTGGTCAGGCAGGATTTCCCCTTAGTGAAACCATGCTAGCTGTCACCAGCCACCTCGCTGTTTTTCATGTGCCTCAGCATTCTTTCCAGGAGCATCTGCTCCAAGATTTTGCCAGGCACAAAAGTGAGACTGACTGGTCTGTAGTTTCCTGGGTCTTCCACCTTCCCCTTCTTGAAAATGGGGGTTATATTTCCCTTCTTCCAGTCATCCAGAACTTCACCTGACTGCCATGACCTCTCAAATATGATGGACAGTGGCCGAGCAACTTCACTTGCCAGCTCCTTCAAGACCCGCGGATGGATTTCATCAGGTCCCATGGACTTGTGCACGTTCAGGTTCTTAGGATGGTCTCCAACCTGATCCTCTCCTGCAGAGAAATGCTGTGATTTGACAGAGAAATGAAACCTAGCAAGTGTTATTCACTTCATTAGCTCACAGCTCAGTAGATTTCAGTCTTTCATTTAGTTGTCAACATTGTTATATCACCTATGGATCAATCTACACAGTCCAGTTGAAAACATGCTGTGCAACTAGTTAATATTACGGTTTGGTAGAGCAAGCAGCTGCTGGCATTCAGAAATGAGGCTTTTATGTTTTGGCTTACTGTGTGCTTTAGAGTGAAACAGAGTGCTCTATAGCACTTAAGCAAGTGCATATTAATTTACAAAAGGTTGCATTTGAAACATATGATGCCAAGTTGACTTGGCATCAGATTTAACTGAATAATGAGAAGTGGTGAGCAGGATTACAAATGGTCGTTTGTTTTGTACCTTGTGTTCCCAGCTTACTAAAAGCTGCTAATTATTTTGGGGCCTTAAGTAACGTAAAATGTTTGGATGTTGAGGATTTTTAAACTGAATTCAGATTTATAACAAAGGATAATGTTATGATCATAAGGATCCTCTCCGTTTCTGCTAATTTAATCCATTTCCTTTTTAATACATTCAGCTAGTATTATGTAGATATTTATAGATATAATTGGGCTCAGGCTTAAGCACAGATTCCAGCCTGAGTCTGGGAACTAATTCTGCTTCAGTTAGCCCAGACTGGTTGTTTCTCACTCAATACCCTGGGGTATGCCCCTAGACCGCTGGTTTCCTCCGCTGTTACTATGCTTCCCAGACACTCTTCCCAGTCCGGTTACATTCCCAGAGAAGTCTGCAGAATTCTGATTTTTCAGTCCCAAATACCCACTTCAGGGCCTCAAGTCTGGGTTCTCTTCTAAAGATTGCTTACTATAACCACCATGTATGGTCTTGAGCTTATAGAGAAAAGGACTCAATGCACAGCATCATCTGCACATCACTCCATGGTGTTGATGAGATACAATGTGAGCTTCATGAGGGATATGAGTTCTGACCCCTGTGGTGTTAACTGGTAGTTTTGCTCCAGGGATTACAGATGCTCTGTAGGACACTTTGCCTTCTTACAGTGTCACTTCTCAAAGATCTTGGCCGTAATACCTCTCTGCGTCTTGCCTGCGTGGGAAAGTGCATCAGTGTGCCATTCGCAAACATAGGAGGTTTGGGCTTGAAGCACACTCCCTTGTGGTTTGAGTTCTGTTCACCTCCTCTCGTGAGCTACAGATGGTGTTGCTTCTTCTACCAAAGCCTATTCACTCTTGGGATCTGTCAGTTTTCCTCAGGAAGCTGACAGATGCTTTAGAGAAGCCAGACAAGATACATGCATTCGAATTCCAGCTCTGTAATTACCAAAAGGATAAAACTGAGTTGCTTCTGTGGTGGAAAACCTGAAGGGCATGGCTGCTAGTTTTTACTTAATTTTCTGTGTGTATTAATTTCTAGGGAATGACCAGTTTGTGGGTTTTTCATTTAGACATATATATTACAAACAAGGTCACTTTGCTAAATTTGCTGTGAGTAGACATGCTCTGGTATCTCTGTATACGTAGTCTCATGCAGAACATACACATTCTATCAGAAGTTTATTGATTTGCCTTCTGTTTTTACTTTATATTGCAAATGTTTAAGTCTGTTTTCTAGATGCTACTTAGCAGCAAAAGCTTGTCCTGAAGTGGTAAAAGAATATCATGTTGGTATCCTAGTTGTCAATCATGGGTTTGAGTCTTTTTTTTCTTATAGTTACTATGCCTTTTGCAGATCCTGCTGTTGCAGAAATACTGGTGTGCTCTTTGTCAAGAACTTTGTTCTCTGCAACTGATGCAGATTCTAGATCCTTGACAAACATAATGAATCAATTAAAAATAAACAAACAAAAGCCCCAGACAAAACTCACAAACCGCACAACTTAAAAGAATAAAAATAAAAAACACAAAAAATAAAAAGCCCCAAACCCATGCAGTTTTCAAATACTGTAAAAACATAATCCCAACAGAAGAGCCGGTACTTAACCTGGTGTTATAATCAGTATAGGTTCTGAGGATGTTTCCAGTTTACATTGTTCTTGCTCAGGTCATGACCTAATGCTTTGTTTATGAGACAGAAGATGATTTGCTATAGATAGCCTTCACTAGGTGTTCTTCTAAAAATAATCCTTACAAACAATCTTTTCCTGTAGGAGATAATGGCTTTTCACAGCCAGCAACCTATTATAATCCAGATCAACTTCCTCCAGAGAATTCTTCCTTTATGGAAAGGAATTTCATATGCAGGTTACGATGCCTACTGGATAATTCATCTGGGTTCCTGGTGAGTATGGAGCTGTGTAAAAACTTCCACATATGCTTGCAAATTGGAAATCTGCACTATGTTTACAAGTACAGCAACTTGCTTTATTTGTTAAGTCTTCTTACATATCTGAGCTGCTTGAAACCAGTATGTTTGAGTTAGTGACACTAAATGCGTCCCCTTCAACGTGTTACAACCAGGTGCAAGTTCTCTCATTTCTCATGGCTCAGTTTACTCAATGAAATATGAATAAGCATCTGCTTTCGTAAAGTACTGTGTGATTTGCGGATAAAGAGACATTACAAAGATTATTTTCTGTTGAGTATCTTGAGATGCAATAAGTCATAGTAACTAACAGAGCCATAGTTTTCCCTTACTTGGGAAAGTCTGTGCTTGCTTTTTTTAATACTTTTTTGTTGTTGTTTTCAGATGTTGGAGATGTTAAAAGAAATGTGGGTTTATCACCCTTTAGGTGACTTCTTACAAATAGAGTTGTTTATATAGGATTTTGCAATTGTACGCATTTGCATACTTCATACTAATGACTGACAAATGCAAGAGAAATAATGTCATGTTAATTGTATATATGTATAATGCCATGTTCATTAGAATATTAGAAAATCCCGTTTTTACTACCTTCCTGTTAGTTCTTTTTCCGGTGAGTTTATTAGTAGATCTCAAAGTGATACGCTCAGGGCTGTAACAGCAGTATTCTGCATTGTAGCTAGCATTTGTGTATGTGATGCTACAAAGCTTGAATCACATGGGTCTAAAAAAAGGTAAATACATATATTGCATCATGACAGAAATACCTTACTCTTAAATATGTCCAACATATAGCAATTACTCTTTTCCTTATCCTAAGGCTATGAATTTTCAAGGAAGATTAAAGTTTCTCCATGGACAAAACAAGAAAGGGAAGGATGGTGCTGCTTTGTCTCCTCAGCTCGCTCTGTTTGCAGTAGCTACTCCCCTGCAGCCACCATCTATCCTTGAGATACGAACCAAAAACTTCATCTTCAGAACTAAACACAAACTGGATTTCACACCTACTGGCTGTGATGCAAAGTAGGTATAAATTATTCTGCATAATACTTCTAATAAATTGCTGAGGATATCAGTTTCAAGTATGTATTTGAAATATAAAGGCTACTATTTCAGTCGATACTGTTGATTGTTTAGGAACTGTTAGGATATTTCTCTTTAGCTCTGCTACTAAGTAAAGAGAAATGGGATTGTCATAGTGTACTTCCTTGAAAGGGCATGTAGCTTTCTGACTCTCAATCATTACAAACCAAACAGGCCCCCCCACAACAAACCAAACCACACCCATACACCCAACTATTTCTCCTTCAACTCAGAGATGTCAAATGCAATGGAGCTGTTATTTACTTCAGAATAAATTAAGTCCTTTTTTTGTACTATGGCTTTACCCATTTCCAAGTC